ATAGCAGAATGCTTTTGTAAGCACAGGATTAACTTAATTCCTCAAGTTTTAGCAACATTGACATAATCTACTACAGTCACCAGTCACATTTTCCTCCAATAGTGAATCATGCTACTGCAGCTGAATACATAAAACAAGCAGACAGGGTCAGGGGTACCATGCACTGTTCAACTACACATTTCAATGGCCAGAGCCATACTTAAATGATCACAAATGTGGCGTGACTGCTGGTGCAAGATGTGGTGGTTCCGGCATTTCAGAAACCACCACCTCCAAGAAATCGTAATGCACTCGTGTGTGGAGTTTACAGAGAATTGTACAACGAACAAAAACATCCAGGCAATGGCATTTCTGCAATGTGAAATACCATGTTGGTGCGTGAGGTCAGAGGAGAATGGATAGCTCCATGAAGCTAACAGGAAGGCCTCAAGTGTAAAAATAAGAGTGCAGTAAAACAATGGTGTGCAGAATGGAGTCAGAGCACACAATTCATCTACCCTCGAAGCAGTTCTGGTGGAAAAATTGGGTCCTAACTGGTACTGGCTAGGTGTACTTCATAAGGTGCCCACCGAATGTATTACTCACAAAAAATATTTTAATAAAAAGAATTGACTAAATTAACAGTAATTCACAGTAATATGTTGTGAGAAAGCAGTCTTAACATTCAGGTCAGCAAGTCTGAGAAAGCACCAGCTCGGACGACTAGTACCAAATTTACATTGTGAAGCCAGGTCCAAGTCGATTAAAAAAAAAAAAATTAATAATAATAATAATAATGTAATCAGGGACTGATTTGCAGGCAATCAAGCAGGTATTTCACTCCCCCTCCTTGATCTAACCACATGAAATGCTACATTTGTTTACCAGACTAAAATACGATTCATGTTTCCGTGAGGCAATGTTATTAAATTGCAAGTTTAAACCAAAGAAAGTTATCCTAATGACACCCCTACTACAAAAAAGTGGACTTGTTTGCAATGTAACATTATTATGGGTAATACAAGGGCCATCCAGCTAAAACTCAAATTTTACATTTTAAATGTATACAGCAATATTACATTGTTACAAGAATCCAGAAGTAATGCTAAATTTCTACAGCTGAACTGAATTATGGGACATGATTAATCCAGCACACAGCTGCTGTACTGATTCAGCAGTTTCGTCTGTCTGTACCTTAGTCTATGACTCTAACCTCACCTGGTGACCTTCTGATCCCTGCAGCAGGTATTACTTCAACAGCTCTTATAATCAAGACTGAAATGTTTGCGCTCATGCTTAATTGTGCGTATGCTGGTTTTAGCAGCCACATATCTCTGTAGACGTCGCTCTATGGAAAGTCACTTACAGCTACAGCATGTTTACTTCCACTTATTACTATAATAAAAAACTGTTAACTGTCTAAATAAATTAAGCTAAATTTTATTTTTAATGGATAATTAATAGTTCAACAGTAGGATTCGGACCCAGTGATTTGAGCTCTCTCCAGTCTAGCAGACGGTGACATACAGTCTGGTAAATCACCAGCGCACTGTGATGAGATTGAGGCATTTGCCACAGGCAGACGGCAAGTGTGCATCATACTTTAAACACAGGCTCCCCAAATCTTGGACATGCCAGCTCAAAAACATGGTAGGATTCAAAATAAATGCACGGACAAAACAATCACAAAAAAGTATGACGTAAAATGAACACAAACTAAAAAAAAAGAAAATTATTTTGGAAAAAAAATAATTTTATATATATCAGCAACAATACATATGCTTGAAAAAACAAACTCAAAATTTTGAATCAGAAAGGGAGAATTTTTAATTTTTTACTTAATATGACACATATTTATGAATTGTCTTGCAATTCCCTTGTCACCACTTCCATTTCAAGCCTTGACCGTTCACTTAAATTTCATTCAAGCATTTTTAAGAGACCTGTCAATCAAATGCTCCTACTAAAAAGAATTGGTGAAATCTTCAATGTTTTACCTCATCTTTAAGTTCATTATTAAGTTGTAAACCATTGTTGTGGGACCTTCTTTTACGTTGAAATTGATAATATAAACTTTTACATCTGTTTTCAATGTTTATTCACTCAAAAAATATTTTGAGTAAAAGTGAAGTGCTTATATTCAGCTCACGGGGTATAAGATGGACAAATCCATCTTAGCCAGTTAAGCAAATGATAGTTAGCTTAGGGTACATCCACACTAATACGTTTTCATTTAGTAAACAAAGATTTTCTTCCGATTTAGCGTTCTGTTGGATGGATCTTTTTTTTCCTAGAAACAGAGAAAATTTTCAGCGCTGTTCAACAACTAATCTTTCTACAAATGCATTAGTGCAGATGCTCATAACGGTAAAAATTTTGTTACACCTACATCAGTGAGCTCCAATTGGTTCGTACTTAACTTGTGACCCTTTCTGATTAACTCTATTGATTTAATGTCTCTTTTCCTAACTGGTTATTCTTCACGGGAATAAAGAACGCTTTTCCATTGCTTTCATGGAAGTAAGCCACTAACATGGAGGCAGGACGCTACCGGGCATATGTTGCTTTGCTTACTTGTATGCACCTAAATCATGTTTTGTGTGCGGTTTACAAAGATTGTGAAGCTCAAACAGAAACTGAACCTGAGCCAAGTTTAAGTGCAGCTGTAGCTTATGATAAAGATATCCAGCCATTGAACATTAAAGACAAGAGTGCACTGAAATGAAGGGAAAAGAGTGAGATTGTAGTGATTAAATTGATGGGTCCCTGTGTTGTGGCTGTGCTGGCTCCTTTTATGTACAGCTTTGTGTTTGCAATGCTACAGTACTGTGATATTTCGCTTTTGCTAAATAATACACATGCATTTACTTTAAGCACATGGTTGTGTGTGAGATTAATAAACAGTCAAGCATTATAAAAACTGAACTTTATTACTAATAAAAGTCAAAATAATTGATCCAATATATATACTTCACCACTTTTGGTTGGACAAAAAATGTGAGAATGACACGTGCTCGAGCTACAAAAATCAAAATAGAAAGGGTGGCACTTTATAAGCTTTGGTTAAATGTGCAAATGAAAAATCTCAGAAATATATACATTAACAACCACTCATATACAATATACACAATTACACAAATGCTAAAGCTAATTATTTGTGTAGTCATAAGTCATGTCATTTGACTTTTACACGGAGCAGTGTGAACACAGTTTTTTCCCCCCCATTCTACTGACAATGGTAGTGCAGACACAGATCTTGTAATCCATCTTCAATCATTTGACTCCTCCATAACAATGTAAACTGAGAACTATGAACCAAGATGGCAGATCACACAGGGGTGTGCTACAGGTTTCTTTGCTTCCAGTACTGGCATTTTATTCTTTATTTTTATTCTTCTGTATTTTGGGTGTATATATACCTTATATTTAATAATGCACCTTACTCTTTATCTTGGCATCTACAGGCTTGCTCCAGACGACATGTCACTGTATAAATACAGTGACAATAAAAGCATCTTATCTTGTCTGAGATACGTAGTAGCATAAGGATGCACTGCCAACATTAGTATTAGCTAACCTAGCCAAATAATAACATTACCGCCAATGGCAAAATCAAAAAGAGTTATACCAGCTCCTGCAGAAGCAAAAATGTGGGTATCATTTTGGTTTCCATGATAAAGAATTCACTAAGGAGATTGACAACAGCCATGCTTTTTGCAAAACTGAGTCATGTATCCTGCAAGCACTTTTATTTTATTTTTTACTAATATGGGCATATTCCTTTGCTCAAACTGCACAAAAAGTAGTGTCATGATGTTGGATGGTACGGGGACTGCGACAGGGCTAAATGCAAATGCAGATCCCACTGCTGTGATTGCATAAAAAAAAAAAATTTTACCCAGATTTTATGCATATGGTGGTGTTTTATATACGACGACAGTTTTCCTAAAATCTGATTTTTTAAAAATCGCAGTGTATTGGCTTGCTTACAATATTGCAATATATTGAATTGCAACCCATATATCATGCTAGTCATCATCAGAGACAATTCTGGGGACTCTGGGTGCCCTAGGCAAAAAAAATCCATGGGGGCCTCCAACTCCCCCAGCATGGTAACATTTATTACCTTTATTTTACTGTGAAGTACAAATTAATAATATCAACAAAGAGAATTTAATAGACACAAGACCTTCATTTTCACTTTTGTGAAAAACGAAATACACAAATGATGCAGATTTGTCGTTTCAATGTACTACGTAATCAGCTGCCCCCAGGGGCCCCCTCCCAGTTTGGGGACCCAGGCCATTGCCAGCCTTGCCTGTCATGTCGACTCTGGTCATCATGATACATATTGTATCATCAGATTCTTGCTGATACACAGCCCTACTGTGCTTATTATATGTAATAGCTGGGAAATTTATTATGATATGCTAAATTGAAAGTCGTAACACATTATTTCTTTGTTTGCATTAGCCCATGCTGTATTTTATTTCTCAAAAGAGAGAACAGTATAAGCATAGATTTTAACAGAGACATATAATCCTTCCCTGTTGTAAACAAGGTGAGAGTGTAGGTCATGACATTGCACAGAATTTTGGAATTCAAAGCTAAAACCAAAACATTTATTTAGAAACTGATGTTAGCAGGTTTATTTTGTTTAAAAAATAGCTGGATAAAAGCACAACATAAAAATATTATAATTTGCAATATTTGCTTTATTTTATTTAAGACTTCTTAAAAATCTTAAGATATTTCATGTTATGGAGTGCAATTTCCGTAGCCAATCACACTGGACAATACAATGACTTCATACTGTGGTAAACAGGCTATTGCAGGCCCCTCCCAGCTGCAAATTCTCAGCCTTTAGCATTGCTCAATTTAATGTCAGAAATTAACTGAAAACAACAACAAAGTGTCTACGCCTCCCTTTGTTGTGACATCACTGGGAGCCTAAATTAGAGCATGAATTAGCAAGCATGCCATTTCAGTGCTGCCTATGACATCACCAGGTAAAGACTTACCTTCAATGGATGGAGCCTGGTCCTGAGCTGAATACAGCATATCTTTGAAGGCCTACAGGATGAAAGAGAATTAAACTTATTTTAATGAAAGGTTATTACCAAACCATACAAAAAGCCTAAATTGTATAATACTTGTCATGGTATCAAGTATCAAAGGAAACATGAGGAAAACACCCACCAGTCAATCACTTTTCCTTAATATCTTATCACATGTGATTCTATAACAAGTGGGATTCCTGTGTACACAGTAACACATTTACAAAAGAGACTTTTTTAGTCTGTCACAGGACACTTCTCTGGATTTGATTATTATTATATACCAGCATTATAAATCCATCAAGTCTTTTCCCATTTTGTGGTTTAGGGTTTGTTCATTTCCCACTACAAAGCCTATTTCAGTATCAGAACCAACTTTATTGGCCAAGTGTGCTGGGCCACACAAGGAGACTCCCTAGTACACAGACAATAAATGACACTGTACAAACAATAAATTACACTACACAAGACTATACACCATAAAATTTGAAATATACACACATGGGTAACACTGTACAAGTATAAGGTGCGAGGTTAAAACACACATTTGTATTCATGTCTTTGTAAGAACCCAAACAAAATACAAGACTTCTGGCATTTTTAGTTTTCCGATTGTAGTCACAGTTTTTTTTTTATAAAACTGGGTTTCTTCTTGTGGGGACCGAAAAAATGGTTAACTAACGTCGTTAACTTCGAAGAACTCCTACACTACAGACATTTTTACCTATTTATTTTGCTTGATAATGATACTGTTGATACATGATTATGTGGTATTGGTTGTATGAATCAGAGCACTGTCACAAGGAAGAGTACATGTGCACAGTAACGGACCTGATATCAATACTACTACAGTGTATCCCTATTCCATACCAACCAGATAAGAAACAAATTATCCATACATCATGCAGCAGCCACAACATCATGAGACTACTGATCTTGCAACTGCATTCCATCTAGCAACTTTTGGTAAAAATTATACATCTTAATTTTTTGGAAAAAAAAATATATACTGGTAAATGTTATGGGTATCTGTTATAGACTAGCATGCTATGCATTGCCTGGGACAGGCTTCAGGACACACTGTGACCTTGACCAGGATAAACAGTCAGGACATAGATGGATGATACTGGCAAAATTTCAAAGTTTATGTAATGACAGCAGATACTGATGCCAGAACAAACCAATTGTGAACCCTTCAGAAATTAGATTTGTAGAAGAAAAAAAATCAGCACATAGCCTCCTGTCTTTCAACTGAACCCCCATACAGTTAAACACTATTAATTAGGGCGAATATTGTACAAAGTAAATCATACACTGAAGTCAGCACAGAAACCATAAAAGAGCATAATACACAGTGGTGTAAGAGTGTAATGCATGTCACCTAGTTCATCTTCTCCAGTAGAGTGGTTAAGCCTGCGGGGTTTACAAAAACAGGTGAGAATGTGAAAAAAAGAGAAGTATAGGCCTAATAGTTACAGCATAGAGAACACAGGCCTCACTGCATGTAGGTGGCATATACCACAGTTTCCAAGAGCTTACTGCACTGTTCCCATAAGTAACTGTTTATCAAACTTCACTGGAGGGGCAGCGCCTAGCAGAGCAGAGCTGGTCTGCAGTGACTTTCTTGGTTATTATCTGCTAGCAGCAAGCAACTTGCAATACAGCACATGACCAGTAAGGCTCAGTCCAAAGAGATTTCATGTCTTCCGAACAACAATATGCCTTTACTTTCTGAAATGTGACAATTTCCAATTTGTAGATGACATTTGAACTAAACATCTTATGGCAGCCAACGAAAGAGTCCGCATTGAGATTCAAAGAACAGAGCAAGCTACACGAGTCGCGTAACTGAGAAGCAACAAAATGACACGGGTCAGTCACTGTTCCTTTGCTCCTTAGTAAACACAAGCACATTCCTGACAACACCCAGCAAATATTCACCCAACGCATAGTCCTTTTAATAACTGCATTTTCCACTCGCTCAACAAAATGTCCCTCCCCAAGCAGTTATCCTGAGTCCCCTTCCAAATTCCTGCCACCTATATCTAAACAGCCTTCCCAACCAGAAGCAGCTTCACAATATTTAAAATTTGTCTCCTATCCCAGCACCACAGATTTCATTCACATACATAACCTTAAGAATAAACCTTGCAAATCATAATCGTTAATATAAACAAAATGCTACATATACATAGTTCACCTTCTCTCCGTGAGACAATTTGGAAGCGCAGAAAGTTGTTTTATTCAGTTTCTAAGTTTGTAATTCTCACAAGATAGCGAATTCCCCATGCAAAAATGCTCTAAAACGAACAGAATTTTAAAATTACCCATTTTTTTAGGAGTATGTATGCTCAATATTTTGAGGATTGACCATACTGAGATGGTCTTGATCAATACAAATATATCCAAATATTAAGCAATGGCAAAAGGGTGTGACACATAATAATAATAATAATAAATAATAATAAAGAGCCACATGACACAAGGATGGGAGAAGAAACCAGTATTTTATTGGAAATGCAGTTACATGTGCCAGGGATGAATAAATGAATAAGGTTAACAGAAAACCAACAGGCATGTGAAGTAAAAAAAGGAATTTCTAAATGATTTCCAAGGAACATCTTAGGCATAAGGAAGAAGAACCAGGGAATAGGTCAGACTTGTATAATGATTGGACTGAATGTGAGCAAGAGTCCTGACTTCCCCCAAACTCATGCACTACTGTTCCTGGATTTAATGTATAGGAAAAAAGCAATATCAGTATATTATAGTATATTGTGCTGAAGTTTCCAAACATTGAAGCTTGCTTCTTGACTCATAGCAGACTATCGTTTGTAAATATAGATCAAGAAAATTGCCTTGCATCATGTTAACAAACTTAATTTATGGTATCTCATGTCAGAAGTGCTTACTGCTGTGCATAAACTGCATTTGTGGAATCAGGTGTCACAATGTTCATTTTAAAACAAAATGCTTATCCATTTACCCATCCGGGTTGTGTTAAGTCAGAAGCCCAGCCCTGAAAGGAGGCCAGTTCATCAGAGGAGACACGCACATGATCACAAAGCTGTACGAGTATGGGCTGCAGAAAAATATCTGCACCAAGAGAACTTGCAAATGGTAAATGTAGGGTGCCTTGCACCCCCAACATTACACAATTCACCATGCACAACTGAGACAGAAGCCACCATCAAAAACTGTGAGTTTTCCATCTGAAGGATTATATAAGGCAGGGGTGGGCAATCTTATCCACTGATTGGCTGAAGAGTCCTCACACCTGGGTTTGAAAAGCTGACCTAAAGATTATCCCAAAAACCTGCATACACACCGGCCCTTTGCGGATAAGATTGCCCACCCCTGATATAAGGTTTCCATGGTTTCATGCAACAATTCTATTAATTTAAAATACTTAAATTAAATAAATACTAAGGTTTTATAGGGTTTACAGGGATAACCAGGAGTAGACCCACAATGCACAACTACCCAATTGCACAAACTACTAATCATGTTTTTTTAAGTGTATTTTGTCTTATGTCCTGAACTGCATAGCTAAATTATACCATTTTATGTATAATGTAATTAATGTATTATGTTTTATAGAGATGGGGCAAAAACCAATTCGGTAAAGTAGCACGACTCTTGTGTGGCGATTCATGTATCGCCACATTAACCCTGAAATCGATTTTTTATTAATTTATAATTTATACGTGTTTGGATTTGAGGTGGAGAAACATTGCAGTTCCTTTATAATTCTACAAGTGGTCCACTAGTAATAAGATCACTCAGAATGCATTTCAATACCAGGTCACGACAGCAGCAAATGTAGCTTTTTGTTAAATTACAATTTTAAGTTAAAATTTACACTGTTGTACTTGAAGTTGTTCTGCATTGTTTAAATGCTACCTTTGGTTTTTCGAAGAGGAAAATTATTCAGAGAATGCTACATTTACTTATGTTCAATTTAGCTGCACAGCAGTATGACTTTTTCTTTTTTTTTTTTATACATTTTCGAGGTTTTAAAATTCTAAAAAGTGGGAAAAAATCTGGAAAAAAAACAGGGATATTCGCAAAATCGCAATATTAACAGAGACGCAATACATTTCGAATCAGCACCTTGGTATCATGATAATATCGTATGGGGAGGTCACTGATGATTCCCATGCCTAATGTTTTATGCATTTTAATTTCCACTATTGTAGGACAATAATATTTTGGCTTGACACAGATGTGGTGATCATGTGGAGATATGCAGCTCACCCGATTCTAAGTATTTTCAGCATGTAACACGTTGACCATTAAGCATTTAACAGTCAACATGTAACATTGTCTATCGTAAACATAGTTCTACAACACATTTTCACTGATTGTTACATATAGGACTTTTTATTAAACGAATTTAACAAACATTGTAAGTATGAATAAGAAAGCATTTGAAATCAGCTCAAATAAAATATAGTGAAAGTAAGAAGAATTTCTAAAACTCCTTTTGAATAGTACCACTGTTGATAATTGCATAGTATATCTATTTAAAATACTTGATACTGTTGCCAAGAGGTGGGCGCCATTAATTTTTACAAGACTGCGCTATGGTTATTTTTAATAAAATACACTTAGTAGAACTCAATGTTCAGGTAAAGAAAATATGTTATTACAGCTCTTTTATGCATTTCCAATTTAAAATGTGAAACCTTAGTTATTACAGAAGATTTATATCCCTAACCCCATAGTTATTATTATAACTAAGAAATGTCATGGGTGACTTTCATCTTTATTTGTGTCAAAAGCCAGAAAAATCGTCAATAAATGACAAAATGGGCGGACAACAGTAGTTTGTACTCGAGACTGCAAGCTATTGACAAACTGTTTTCCTACTAATCAAAACAATTATATATCATCGAACATAGATTTTTTGCCATAAAATGCTATATGATATTAAATAACCGGAAATCATAAGGTCACTCTCAGATTTTGCTTTATGGTAAGCGACTCTTAGCTCCTACCCTCTCCTCAGCTTGCGGCAAACAGGGCATTATTAAGGAGCTAATGTCATCCTCACCTCTCTCCTTCCTTTCTCCCAGAAATCTGCTTACACACGATTCTCCACTCCATGACAATAAATTGGGATTAGACCAATCTCTGACAATACAATTATCCTTCCCAGCTGTACTAGCGATCAAACCGAAGATGAAGGCTTGTTAAACAGAGCCAGGCATTGCTTGCGCGGATATGCCAAAGCAAACAAACGAATTCATTACCACAAGTAAACACGCACAACCTGCGGCTAATGCGAGCAGAAACTTACCTCATACTGAATGTACTGTTTCCTCCATTCGGGGGTAATATGCGCCGAAAGGTGTTCGGTAAATTTCATCCTGCACGGGTCCCTCCCCCTCCCGGACCGGGATGCTGCCCGCTCGCTCTCACCGTTGCTTTGTTATGTTGCCGGAGAATGCTAATCCAGCTAGCCAGTTAGCTAGCCGTACGAAATAATAAGGATTTCAATCAGCGCTGTCTCGTCTGCCTCGTTTCCTCCGGGTTCCTCGCCCCGCATATTATTATGCAAAGTGAATACGGGATTTAACTACATATTCAAGTGTAGAGCCTGCCACTTCAGATGATCTAAGGCACTATGACAGCGCCGGGTGAACCTTCCGCTGACTGACTTTGTCCTAGGTCCCTTTGAATCGCTTTCAGTGAACTCACATCCGCCATCACGGTCAGCAAAACACATAATCCCGTGCATACGTCACTACGTCACACGCCGTTGCGCAATGCGTCATTTTTGGACGCCGATATGACGAAGTACCATGTCCAGGTGAGAGTATTGGGTTAGAAATTAAGGTTTTGTTCAAGGATCTAACGGTGGCATTAGTACACCAGCCACAGGATATAAAACTGGCAACTTTCCACTCATGGGCACATAACAGTAAATCATAGAGGTCCATGGATTATACCTCCACCCTTATTATATGTACGTCAATATAATTTATTAATTGGTCCCCAGGGCAAAATTATGAAATAAAAATGATCTTAATAAATGTATTAATATTTGCTATTAAAATTTGATTTAAAATATTTAACAAAAACAGCTTTTATCCATTAATAAGCATCCCATTTTGTTCAAAATAATTATTTAAAAAATATGGTTAGTGAAAAAATTAATAAACAGGAATCACTTATAATGTCATATACAGGAATCAAAATATTCTTTTGCGTTTTATTATATTAATATTTGTTTCTTGGAAATACCAGCCCGTGTAATTAATTAGATTATTCTTCCATTGAGTCAGTGTTTTCACAGATATATTCCCAAATGTGTAATCTACCAGTAATGTGTAAATATTTTTCTGACACACTCAATTCTTCATATTCCATTGGACACCATCTTACTAGTGCGACAGTTTTAACAGTGATGTACAAAGCAGGTTTCACATATTGGCGTCACAGTTAAGCTGTCTCTTTTCCTGGGTTATAGCATCTCATAGCAGGACTCTATTGTCTCTGGCTTAAATGATCTTTGTCATAAAATGGACTGCTTTGTAAGTAATAAATTGTACAAACACAAATAACATACAGGGCTGGATCCTGGCATAAGCAAACTAGGCAGCTGCCTGGGGCCCGATTGGCACAAGGGGACCCAGAAAAAGTAATGAAAAATGATATACATTACATATATGGCCAGCTCTAGCTAGAAGTGGAATAAGCAGTTGCCTAGGGTCTCCAAATTAGCAGCATTGCAAAGGAAGGGGGAGACACCCAAGGAAAGCTTTGCCTAGGGCCCCTAAAAATCCAGGCCTCTTATCCACAAAGGGCTGGTGTGTATGCAAGTTTTTGGGATAACCTGTAGGTCAGCTGCTCAAACCCTGGTGTGAGGACTCTTCAGCCAATTAGTCCTTTAATTAGTAATATAATTAGGGAGTTGCAGTGAAACCTGCATACCCAACAGCCCTTATGGATAAGATTGCCCACCTCTCCCATATAATATTTTGGAAGAGATTGTGGGCAGGGTGGGATGAGTCCTTTATGATATTTGTTGTTTTACAGAGGCAGCAGGAGGTGAAGATATTTATCTATCATCCACTTACAGAATATTTTATGTATTAAAATATGTAAATGTACTTAGTTTCAGGGAGATTACGAATATTACATTTTGCAAATATTCTACATTTTCTTTGTACTGTATATTAATAAAATACTTCAATAGGACAGTACAAAAAACGGAAGAAGGTACAAAACAAGATATTCAAATTTAAATTCTAACTTGGAAATGCTGCCATCTGCTGGAATTTTTATTATTATTTTTTATTATTCTCACTTTTCATTTATGATATTTCGGTGTCTAAATGGATGCAAAATACTGATACAAAATTGAAAAGACTATGAAAACTATGAAAAACTATGAAAATGAGTAGTAGTAGCAGCATAGTAGTAATTCAAACAAGTCATCTAATAATGGGTAAGTTCGACCTCACACAAGGTGAATAAGTTGTTATTGTTATAATTTTAATTTCCATACTCACCATGAAAGACCATCAACAAAGAATTAGGATCAAAATAAAAGACCATACATTCGTTGGAAACCTTCAAAAACAGGTTTTTGGAGTGTTTGCTGCAGTGATAATAACTGAAATTACATTTTCCTTTTATCTGATTGGACCAGTGCAGGACCTGTGTTTCAGATTTCAGAGGCTTGAACAGTGCCAGTGCAGGACCTGTCAATCCACATGACCTTAAGGGTAAAGACTAAAGCAAAATAAGCCATTGCCGTATACTGTGGAAAAGAAAATCATATCTGCTTAAATTTTCCAGATGTAACCAATTCTTGCACTATTAATATATAAAATGACACTTTATTGATCCCCATAGGGAATTCTCTTTTTGCCTACCTCATCTTGCTCTCCATGACACACAGACACATATGTAGGTGACGGCAAACTTGGGAGACACCTGCAGCGGCACCAATGGACCTGGGGGTGAAAGGCCATGCTCAAGGGCCCACAGACATGTAACTATTCTGCCGAGGCTGGGCTTGATCTGCCGACCTTCCAATCAGAGGCACAGTGGCTCAGATTCCTGGGACACACACTGCCTACATCAATATTTGTGCTTCTAATATATAGCTATATACTTGGTGGAATAAGGCTTGTCCTGCCTGCCGTGTCCAGCCCTGCTGTTCCATCTACCCTGCCTGCTCCTCGCCCTTGTCCGACCTGCCTGATCCCAACTGACCTGCCCTCCTGGGACTGTAAAGCAGTGATTGACAAAAGTTAGATCCTGTTCATTTCAACTTCCCTACCAGCCTCTGAGGGATCATTTGTGTTGAATACTGAACTGGAGTCAATGAACAGCTTTCTAACATAGTTGTCCTGATTATGCGCAAGAGTTCATATAGACCTACTACCCCATATCCCCAGAGGCTGAGCAGGATGTCCCTGCTGTACATGCTGAGTTAGTGCAGCTAGGTGCCATTGAAGAGATAGCATGCTCCTCATGCATTTCTCCCATCCTAATCATTAGGAAATATAATGGTAAGTGGTTATGTGCTCAAGTCCTGAGATTGGTGAATGAGGCAATGCATCCTAGGGCACCCATTGTCCCTAAGCCTACCACTATCCTTTCATTTATTCTTCACTCCTTTGCAGGAGTCCAAATTTTATGATTGAATCTAAACATGGAGCGCAGGCAGATTATGGTGCTGCTTCAGATGGCAGGATGAACAGTGGTACAGCAGCAGGGCAGGCAGGAGAGATGTCACAGGCAGAAGGGTGGGCAGGCCGGAAGGATGTCACAGAGAGTAGAGGCATTGCAGGCAGCAGGATATCTTGATTTTTTTGGGGCTCCAGGCAGCAAACCCCAAGAGGGCTGGGGGGGATTTATGAGCCAAAGTAGGGGAGACTAGAGGCAGTGCAAACGATCAGGTGAGTGCAGTATGTAAGCTCCGGCAGATATGGCTGTGGCAGCGTAAGTAGGAGGGAGAGGCAGGTGGGAATGCAGGCATGGGGAGTCCCTGAGATGTTAGCACTCCAATTCCATAAGGGGATGTGAAGCTAGAGTGTCAGTACTGACAGTACATTTCATCCAAAGCAAATGCCACGACCCCCCCCTAGGGCTGGGCGATATTGTCTAAAACTAAAATCTCTGATTTTTTTTAACTTGGACCCAAATCCGATTTAGATTTTTCTCTAAATTTATTGATATACATAAAAAACAAAGACATTATACAAATAAGTTTTGTTTTTATTATATCAATGTAAGCAAGATTTAGGAACAGCAAACATTTATTATTATTTTTACCTGGTCTTAGTAGTTTACACAGGTTCACAAGTGCAAAAAAAATGACCATGATCGATTTTACCTCACCAAATAATCCTGGTTTAAATAGAGAACTTAACTTATCTTGCTAGTTAACGTAACTAATGTTTACTGTACCGGCCTCAGAAGGACAATGGTAAGTAATTCAACTTATAAAGACATCAGCTTGCATTAGTAGATGAAACACTTAAACGAATAAATGAAGGTTGTAAAATAACACATTTTCAACAGGCTACTTACAGTTACCAATGCACGACGAACACAACGAACACAACGAACAGGTCACTCAATTAGAATGAATGACGCAACCGACTGGCTAACCTGCCTTTAGCGCCGAGGTAGTTAAAATGGTATTTTTGTCTCTTTGGGGGGGGGTCTGGGTCTTGATCGGGGGTACAGTACCCCCCAGTACCCCCCGTAATTCGAACCATGCTTCAGATGGTCTGTCTAATCTTAGTTATTTTCTATGAAATTAAGTACAGTGCTCATGCAGTGGCCTCACTGAAGAATTCATGGTGGCACGCATGCGAGAAGCCCTACATTACAGGGACTGTGAGGTGTCATCAGCTGGCATTGAAGTGAGGACAGGGAGGAAATGGAGAGCGGAGTAGGCTTTGGAGGAGGCAGAGTCACGCCTGAGACAAAAGACTCTGGTGGGCACCTTGGCAACAGGCAGAGCTGGTTTGGGTTACTTCCAAAAGACCCAGGTCAGCAAGGTCAAGGGTAAGGAGAGACAACACCTACTCCAGGAAGAGGTTTGAGCAAGGGTGGAGAAAGAATGAGTGAGTAGGGTGGTAGGACTCCAACAACAGGGAACGTGGACAAGGTGGGAGAATATCCTGCAGCGATGGATCACCTGGTCAAATATCATGCACGTCCATTTCCTGGTGCAGGCAGTCTACGATGGCCTACCAAGCCCAGCAAACCTGCATGTCTGAGGGAAGAGTGAGACACCTTCCTGCCCACTTTGCTCAGGAAGAGGCTCCCTAGAACATCTCCTTAACAGCTGCCCAAAGGCTCTCGCAGATGGCTACATCGCTGGCGCCATGACCAAAGCAATTGCTGAGTGCTTGGTGTCGGCCATCAGTGCCAGCAAATACCACCATGCCCAAAAGAAGGCAGTTACCTTTATCAGAGCTGGAGAGAAGTCCCAGGCACAGGAAGCAGTAAAAACAGGCCTCCTCCACACAGCTTGTGACTGGCAGCTGCAGGCTGACCTGGGAAAGCAGCTAAAGTTCCCACAGCACATTGTCACTACATCACTCCAGCCAGACAAACAACTGATCATGCTGGAGCTGAGAGTGCCCTGGGAAGAGCGTATTGAGGAAGCCAATGAGAGGAAACGCACCAAGTACCAGGAGCTAGTGGAGGAATGCAGGGATTGTGGCTGGAGGACACTGTGTGAGCCCATAGAAGTCGGCTGCAGAGGATTTGCAGGATGATCACTCTGCAGAGTCCTCACACGGTTGGGCATTACAGGAGTGGCCAAGAAGAGGGCCATTCAAGCCACAAGTGAAAGGGCAGAGAAAGAAGGTGTCTTTGGTTGAAGGGGGCTGATACATGGATGGCTGATGGGACACAAGTTGGGGTCTGATCAACCTGGGTGAGGGTGTATGATGTTGTGAGACCCAAAACACCCGATGACCTCAGGATACATCACTGAGGATGCGTCACAGTGCATCTAGGAGATGTTTCTTGTTTTTCAAAAAAGGTATCAATCCTAAAACCTTCTGGGAAGTATTTTTTGTTAACCTAGATTCAAACAGAAATTTAAGATTGATTTTGTTCTCTTTTATTAGTCTGGAAAGATATGCGGACCTACCTAGCAGTCATTAGTGCTTTTCTGTAGTTAGAAAGGCTCTCTTTCCAAGCAGCTCTGAAAACTTCTATTTTGGTTGAGTGACATTTGCACTCTAGTTTGCATGAAGCCTGTTTAAGTTCAAACATATGATCAGAGCACCAGGGGGCATATTCTTACCTCTTTGCTTTGTCTTCTTAAGTGGAGCTACAAGATCAAGAGTGCTGTGAGATGTCCATAATTCTATTGTCCATATTCATAGTTATCTAGGAAAAAGATACACTTCTGTAAGACAAATGTTATTGCGTCCTTGTAGTCATAAGAACATAAGAAATTTACAAACAAGAGGAGGCCATTCGGCCCATCAAGCTCGTTTGGTGAGTTACTCAACTAATAGCTTAGAGTTGTAAAAATCTTATCTAGCTCTTATTGGAAGGTTTGAACTCTGGTGAGTATATAAAGAAGACATGAAAATGAAAAAGGGTAAGAGCAAGGTCACAGATGAAACTAGTGTATAAGATAGGGAGGATTCCCTAATGGTAGTGTGCATTCAGCTTATCTGAAGTGTCTGTGCACCCTTGGCCAAGAATAGATTATCAGGTTAACATTATCAATATCTTAAAATACCAGATATATTTAGTTTTTTGCATAGTGAGAGAATTAGAGCATTTTAGATACCCAGTGGACTGGATTTACTTGGTCGATTCTGATTAGTTACTGTGGCACAACAGCCTGTTGGGAATCTGCTGTGCACCAACAGGGGGGAGTCTAACTGTGCCAATGGGACACGATTGGTTACTAATATTTTGGTCCAACAAGGGGCAGAACAGTCTTCCTTTGCAGGTCTTAAAAACTATGTGATAATAATAAAAACTAAGAGCCTGTGAATGCAGTGAAATCCAGACAAATTTGTTGGTACCCTTCCACAAAAAAAAAAAAATACACAAGTATCTCTGAAATAACTTGAAACTGACAAAAGTTTAATGGCATCCCTTATTGTTATTCCATATTTAACACACTTTGCTTTTGATTATTGATTCAGTTGAATATTTAATATAATTAAACTAATGAAAATGACACAGAAAAAAAGATGGTACTGTAGCGGGTTCATAAGCAATCAGAATTCTCAGGGCAGATGTACTCTTATTCTGAAGGCTTGTTCGACTTCCTGTTATAGTTTTTTTTGGTTATCTTGGCGGCAACCAGATCTTGCTCTCTCGATCTTCTACTCTTTGTTGTAAATAAAAAGTGCTTCATCCATTTCACAGACTAAGTATCTTCCTCCTGTCTTTTTCCTCTCGCAACAGTACCCTTAATTTAATATTTTGTGGCACCACCTTTTGCAGCAATCACTGTCAACAAGCGATCTCTGTACTTCACAATGAGATGTCTGCATTTGCCAACAGGTAGTTTGGCCCACTCTTCCTGAGCAAACTGCTCAAGCTGTCTCAGGTTTGAAGAGTTATGTCTCCACAGTGTACTTTTTAGATCTTTCAATAGGATTAAGATCTGAGCTCATAGAGAGCCATTTAAGAATAGTCCAATGTTTTTTTTTGTCAGTCATTTTTGAGTTCTTTTAGCTGTATGTTTTGGGTCATTATCCTGTTGGAGGACCCATGACCAGCAACTGAGACTGAAAATTCTGAAACTGGACAGTATGTCACTCCAGGATGCCTTGATGATGAAGCATGAAGTCTTGAGACTTCATTGTGCCCTGCACAGATTCAAGGTTCCCTGTGCCAGATGCAGCAAAGCACCCCCAAAACAAAACCAAGTCCCCTCCATGTTTCACAGTATGTATGATGTTCTTTTCTTTTAAGCTTCATTTTTCCTTTTGTAAACATAGAGCTGATGTGACTGGCCGAAAAGCTCCAGTTTTGTTTCATCAGTCCAAAGGACATTCTCCCAGAAACTTTGGGGCTTTTGAACATGCATTTTGGCAAATTCCACTTTGGCATTTTTTATGTTTTTCTGTCAATAGTGGAACCCTCCTAGGTCTTCTTCCATGGAGCCCATTATTGTTCAGAATGCGATGGATGGTGCAATCAGAAAGTGACGTACGTTGACCTTGGAGCTCAGCTCAGCATGGTTTTTGATGGTTTCCTTGGCTGTTTTTCTAACATCTGCACTATCCTTCTGATCAACCTGGGGTTTCATTTCCTCTGGTGTCCATGTCCTGGGAAGTTGGCTACATTCCCATGAACCTTATACTTTTTAATAATATTGGCAAAAGAGGTCACAGGACCATGAAGCTGCTTGGAGATGGTCTTATAGCCTTTACTTTTAACATGATTATCAATAATCTTCTTTCTGAGCTCCTCAAACAGCTCTCTCCTTTGCTTTCTCTGGTCCATTTTCAGTGTGGTGCACACAATGATACCAAACAACACAGTAGCATGTTCTTTCCCTCTAAATAGGCCGAATGGTTGAAGGCACCCATGATACTAATTAAGGTTAAACACTTAGTTTGAAACATGACTATAATACAAGGATAAATAGTCTCTTTAGGGGTACCAACAACTCTGTCCATACTATTTTAGCATATCTTTGTAAAATAAACAACAAATAATTTATTTTCACAGTTTTATTGGTTTACTCTATCAAATAGTAAAGGCATGCAGTTATACATTACACAATTGCTTTTAATTGATTCACTTTTCAAGAGAAATAAAACCTTGTTTCAATGAACTGTAAGGGTACCAGCTTATTTGTCCATGTCTGTAAATGCTTCTTTTTGGGTGACCAAATACCTTTGTAATTGGAACCACATTTTTTATGAATAAGGAATTAAATTCACCTAATTATCAAGGTACTGCAGGCATCATCTCATCATGTGAATTAAAAGTAAAAATTGCTCCATATTTAATTTACCACCCATCCGCCTTTTAACTGTTAACCAGGTCAAGGTTGCAGGGGTACAGCTGGAGGTGCAAACTGAAGATCTCCCAGACAAAGGTCTCATCCAGATGCTCCCAGCACACCCTCACTATGCTTTTGGGTCTGCCATGTCTATCCAGCATTTTCCTCCGCCATCTGATCCAGTTAACAGCTCAGATCCTATCATCACCTTAATGTCCAAGACATGTGGTCTCTGTCCCAATGATAGAGTTACAGAATCAATCATCGAGCCACAGTCTAGGATGCTCTGATGCCAAGTGCGCTTATGAACACCCACACGTTTGAAGACTGTGTTAGTAATGGAGAAACTGTGGTTAGCACAGCGGTCCAATAACAGAGTATCATGTGGGTTCTAATTGGTCAGGCCATTCCTTCCAATCATACTGCTCCGGGTTTCACAGTTGTTGCCCATATGAGTGTTAAAGTTGTCCAGTAGAATGAAGTTCCCTGAGGGAATGCCTTCCAACACCCCATCCAAGATTTCCAAGAAACCAGATACTCTCAATTGGTGTTCAGTGCATAAACACAAACAGACAGCAATCAGAGCCTGTCCCCCAACAAAGCCTGTGAATTTGAAGGGAGGCAACCCTCTACTTCACTGGAGTGAACTGAAGTGTACTGAGATGTAGAGATTACATCCCTAAAGCCAGATTTGGTAGCCAACCCTCAGGTTGCTGAGGTCCCTGTCTTCGACTGCTGCTCGATCTACAGTGCATTGGACCCCCACGACCCCCCCTGCAAGTGGTGGGCCCACAGGAGGGAGGACCTATGTAACTCTTCCAGGCTCTGCCCAGCCAGTCTCCATGATTTGAGCTCCCCACACCCAGATCTGGCTCCAGGGAGGGGCCGTGGTCTCCTTAATCTGGGAGGGGTTACAGAGTTCTTATGCTTTCTCATCATAGAGGTCTTTCTAAATCACAATGCTCACAAAGGACCAATTTGCCTTTAGAAAACCTTCCACAAGCAAATGCGCCAGAAAACATAGCTCCTAGGATCACAGAGGTGCACAAAACCATCTGCCACAATAAGTTGGCGATTGATTTATTTATTAATTATGTATTTGTTAATAAAATACAAACCCCAATGCTGGAGCATAGGGCTGGCCCATACTTTGTGGTGGTGGAAAATAAGGATAATTCCTCAAAAACTTAATTAGCAGAAGAGGCATGAATACGCAAACCATTATCTTCCTGCTACGATGCCCATGAACTTTAATGGATAATTATGCAAAATGTGACACTTCCGATGTTGTCTGTACACTCCTATTTTGGTCTTGGCAAGTAGATTTTTTGACTTGATGTTCAAAGTAAAGGGGTGAGTAAGCTGTTTTCAAACCAAATACAGTTTCAGTATCTTGGTTGCAATTTTATTAAAGAGCATAATCGTTATGGATTCTTTACACATAAAACTGTAAACAACCATCCTTCACAAAACAAAGTCTAAAATATCTTGTCGTCTAAATTGAAATATAAACATTGCAATCAAAGAGACATTTTATTTATATATACTACATATATATAGAAACTTAAGCTTTTCTATACCAGGAATTCAAGTGCAAATGTATTCTTTTGTTATCCATTATATGTCACAGGACTGGCGCCATATAGAGGGAAGTAAACAATTTTTTGTACTGTATTAATATTCCAAAAGGATGAAATTAAAGACTATACAGACATACATACATGTATGTGTGTGTGTGTGTATATACAGAAATGCACACACACACATGTGAACATGCGCACACACACACACACACACATATACACACAATTCAGATCTAGGAATGTTGGCTCTTTGTTGGAAAATCAGTGTTATTTGCTTCAGTGCACACTATTCAAAGCCATTCTCAATAATAGCCAATTTCCAATCATTTAAAATAGAACATATGTAATAGTGTAAACACCCTAAAGTAGTACATCCAATACATAAAGTATACATATATAGATAGTAAGAAGGATGGGCAGATGGACACACAGACAGACATACACGTGACACTGAGAAACTGAAAACAATCCAGGCTCCAGCTTCTTCCCAACATGAAGTACAGCAGAGTTATTGACAGTCTTACAAAATTCAGTAAATACTTTCTTGTAGGAATTGTCTGCATATACATAACAGAGGAGGTGACTTCCAGTTATGCCATATATGTTTTGAATGACTTGATAGAAGGATATTTATAAACACTTTTAGGAATAGGAAGATCAATGAAATAATATACTCTTTTGCAATAAAATGCTATGTTTTTTCTGCAATCATCACATTAAAAAAGAAAATGTACAAAGGTGTAATGCTTGTATAAAATCCAAAATATATCTAACATTTTGATGAAATTGAGACTTTTATAGCAAAACATACACGGTAATGTAGATTTGCTTTACATACTGCATGGATTTGATATTGAACAAAATACTTGTGGTGTTTTCTGATAACCAAATCAAAGCAAAATTGTACTACATTGAGGGGGGCACAGAATCATAAAGAACAGAAATAACTAAAGACTTACAAAATCACAATTTCTTACACTTACCAGAGGTTACAAAAAAGAGTGAACATCGTATCTCTGTTAAGGAAATTTCCACCATCACTTGTCATCAGTGAAGCTAAAACTTCATTTCAGACTTACCTGAATGGCTTAACTTCCTTCTGTTTTCAATATATTTCATCTCAGCTCACCTCTCCATAAATATTGGTCATATTGGTTAAATTAGGTTTCCTTTATTAACTTTGTTCTGTTTCATAGACTAATCACAGTTGAGAAAAATATCGGAATATCGGAATAATTGGAATAATATGTCTTTCCAATAAGAACGAAATTAAATCTGTCAAGTATCCTTAATCTGAGTGGTTTCACTTTCTTCCACTGAGTTGGATCTCTATAGTTTATTTACAAATGTTTATCATATGATATACTGGATATTAAGAAAAAAATCATGTATCAATCAAATTCCCAGACTTGTCATGTGTTTAAAATCAGGTATGTTGTAAAAAATAACAATATTAACAATTTCCACTAGAGTATTCCATATGCAAAAAAAGTAAATTTATCAGATTAAAGCTATTTTACCAAAATGTTCATACAGTACAGTACTTGCCTTGTTTGCATCAAAATTACAAGAAACACCATTAAATAATAAAGAAGAGTTTGAAGTTTGATAAGGCAGGCCTCTGAAAGAATAAATTTATATTGATTTAATGGAATTGGCTCCAGTTTCTAGATGCAAATATCATAATTTTGAGGGAAAGACATTAAAAATGATAATGACCAAATGCACTTCATTATATTTACAAAGTAACATGGCTTTTTATAATCCTATGTATCCAGTTGGGGTTGTCATATCGATCAACAGCCAAGTCTTGCTGTACAATGAAGCATAACTTTACAGCAGGGCTGGAATTTAGCAAGGTTCTCATAGAATTGAACATGCAGTATCCAGTCACATGGCACACTGAGTAATGGAAGAAAACAGAGACACTGCTATCTGGACTCCGGCATTGTAGAGGAAGAAGGGAGATCTGTTCTGTATCTGGTATGACACCTGCTGTAACCTTCCTGTCTTTCAGGCTCCTTTGCCTATTAAAGGGGAAGCTCTTGAATAATTTTTCAATAAATACGTAAAACACCTATAAGTTCCATATTTCTAAAGAAGTTCCTTTACAGAAAACGCTATACGTTTTCTTGACGACCAAAATCCCAAATTATTTTAAGGTGCGGAACTAATTTAACCACCTTAAGGCTGCCATTCCTGTCCCTACTCGAGACTTAATTAGCAACCATTTGATCCTCTCTAAACTGTTACTTCTCCAACAATATCATGAAGGAAATTTGTCAGTAATTAGCTTAGTCGCTATTGTATACAGCCCTTAGTTTTTCACTCCATAAGCTGCAGAATAATTGGCTGAATACAGAGATTTCCAAAGTTTCGCACAGTACATTATTTCCATTGTGTCTCCATTTTTATATTGTTAATCGTGACACAGTATATTATAGGCTGGGAAAAATACTGTGGAGATACCTCTACTGAGACTTTGTAGACTCGTCAAAATGGGTAAAATTGTATATACATCTGCCACACTGTCCACCAAGTTAAACTTTTCACTGATTTGTAATAACTTTCCCTTTTGCTTTTCTACCCATGTGCTGAACATCTCTCCCCTCTTAATCTGTTTGCTCCAAGCAGCAGCCCTACTCATTGGTTTCGCCAAAGAGCTCGCAGCCTGCCAGGGAGCTTGCCTGGGTCAGGCGTTTCCGGAAATGGCCATTGGGGACCTGCCAGCGCTGTCGCATTTGGGAAGCAGAACTAATGGTGTTGGAACGGCCCAAGCTTGTTGCCACGGCTGCCTCAAAGGTTAACGTCTCCTCCACGCCAGCTGAGTCGGGGCTGTTGTTGCCGTCATCCTGCATGGTCAGGTACTGGTGAGGTGTGGAACTGTGGCTGCCTGCTGCCATCTGCCCAAGATCGGAGGCCTCATCTCCTTCATCCTCCCAGGGGGTGTCAACACATTCGGACTCTAGGGTCCTTGCACCATCGTCTGCAGGCGAACAGGAATGAGTGTGGCACACGAGCGGGGAGTAAGAGATGTGGGGACGGGCTCGTGGAGGTGTCTGCCCATGACGGCGGCTGCTGGGAGTGCTGGACTCTGATGTGGACGGGACAGGACTATCTGAGCTGTTGCCCTGGAAGAAACAAGTGTTTGTAGCTCAGAGGTGTCAGATGGCCCGAAAATACATAAGTTGATCTTATGAAATACTGCATGCTGTGCATTTCTTGCCAAAAGCTGCTACCTGTTTGTGGGCTGCATGGGCCTGGCTCTCACTTGGGGAGCGGGACCGCTGCTGGCTGCGCTCCTCAGAGCTGCAGCGGGACACGTCGGGAGACAGCAGGTGGAGCCGCTCCTTTGACCGCCCCCGCTCCCTGTCTCCTTGTTGCCAGTGCTCTGACCTGGAACCTGCAAAAGTTCAGATAAAAAGGTGATGCAGAGGAGAGCAACCTATAAAGCTACCCATATCTCATAATCAGATTCCTTCTTCACCTTCAAGAGACACCACAAGACCCATCAATTCAAGGAACGCTTCTAGTAGCCTATAGCACTCCATGTTCCTGGATTCTCTTAGTATCGCAATTTTGTCTGCTAGTTTCAATAGTAATCTTATTAGGTTCTTGCTTTGCCTGAAAGATGCTGGATGCTATATAGCTCTTGCTCCAATGCTGTTTACACTTGTACCTGAGTGTAGCAGGTGTTAAAATGTAGTTTATAATTTCACCAAAACATTCCCACTTATTATTGCATATAGGTATTTTATTGCAGCTTTTTAATCTCCTTCCTGTATGTTCCTGCGTCTGTGTGTGGGGCCGCATTCTGGGTGGTAATGTAAGTACATGCGTGATACAAGCTTTCCTAACATGCCCAGAGGGGGAAACAGGTGTACGAGACACTCTGCTCACGCAGCTAATGTTTTGTTTTATTATTTCAGCGCCTAAGCATTAAAACATCTGAGATTCAGTCTCATGTCCAGTCCCACCAGAACACTACGCAGAGGGGATAAGCGGCACAAGACGTGGGCATGGGTTACATTGGTGCCGTGACTCGAATTCTACAAGTATGGACGTCATCTCGATTGCCGTGGGAAACTCATCTCCTTCATCATCATTCCAAGCTGGTCGCAACAGTAGTGTGTGGGACATTTAATGTGTTGGGACAACTAATCATTTTAACCAAGACTTTAAAGGGCCAAGAGCGCAAATTGTATGTGAGTTGTTTTTTCATGTCTTTTTTTTTGACAGTTTGTGCCTAGTTTATTGTAATGGAATTGGTAGTGAGTTCCGAGGAAACTGGCGTTTATGAGGGAGAAACCCCCTCTGTTTCTCAGAGATGGGGTACAGACACCTAAGGTAGATAGGTTGAATACCCCCAGGTTCTGTTCCACTCATGCCCAGGGTCCACAAACCCCACCAGCAGTACCTCATGCTGAATTGAGCACCCTTATTTCAGAGCTGGCTAATCAGATTGCTCAGTCTATTGTAACATAATTACAGTGTGATAAAAGAGACAGTGAATCAATGTCAGCAGAGATGTCCAAGACAGAGCAGAAACCCACTGAATTGAATTTGTCTGGGATGAGATTTGTCATACAGTCAGATGTCTTTCTCGTGAAAAGTAGACCAACAACTCAGCAGTCACAAGAGATATTAAGTATACTAATGGGGAAAGCTAAGAATGTGGTGAAGGTCCCTTGGGAAAACGCAGCGTTTTAATCTTTGCCTGTTCAACCACAGTGTAAGAAAATTTTATATATTTGGGTGACAAACGGATTATGCCGTGTCATACAGCTGGCATGGCGCGATTTGGTGTTGACTGAGAAATACCCGATTGGTCCGCAAGTTCTCGCTGAAAAGCACCTGTGGCTAAGAACCTGAGAGTGGGCAGAACTTGACATGACCTGCTCGTACGATCCTCCTATTTGCCTTGCCCCCCTCGTTACCTCATGTGAATTCCCGATTGTTCTCAGTTGTTCTGCATTTCCGTCCCTTAGTCTTGTGTATTTAAGTCCACGTCAGTGGAGTTTATATCCCCAGATCTGTCATTGATGCTTGTTGCCGTCTGTCCTGTTCTTCCCTCGATTCCCCGTAATAAACCCTCGTGTCCTGAATCCTTGCCTGCCTGCCTCGTACTTCCCCGCTTCCTGCCTGCTCGCCTACCAATGGTCGTGATAGAACTTGAGAAAGAACAGGTATAGCGCAATTCCTCATCGTCTGCCTTTGTAATGCCGGCCCCAGTTCAGCACACAGCTCTAAAAGGATTGCTCTTGGAAATCTGAATTTTTTGTAAACAACATACAATTAATGTTGGTGTATTGGATAAAGTCAGCGTCATGATTGTGAGTTTAAAAAGGAAAACCACAGTAGCAATGACTTGCCACTGGGTGCCGTCCGTTTAGAAAACCGAGCAGAAATGTGCGTACGCCATGTCTGGAGCTGCCGTGAGAATGTGTAGAGGTACGCCAAGCGTGGAACTGGACATACGCAACATTTTCGTGCATACGCACCGTTTATACATGAGGCCCCTGGTCACTGGAAGAAAGATTGCAACAGACATAGACAGAGACAGATGGGCCACGCTGACACCAACCAGAGTCATGTTTCGGAAAACTAGTACACCCACACTTGGAGAGGGGTAGTGTGGGAGATGGACAAAAAACCCTCAAAGTAGATGAGTCAGATTTTGAGCTTCTCTATGTTAACACCTGTTCGGCTATGCCAGAAGGATATCAAGTTGTGGTTCAGGTGTCAGGAGAGGTGCCTGCTTTCAGTGAATTATTCTACACTCGGGTGGCAGTGAATGACAAGGTTAAATTGAAGGATATGTTGTATTCTGGGTCCATGGTTTGTACTATGAGTGAGGCGGCTGAAAGTTCACTTAGAGAAGCTGGAGCTCTTGTGAGAGAACCTCAGTCAGCTGAAAGGATTATGCTTGTTGGATTTGGGGGAAAGCAAACTCATCCCAAGTGCATACATGACCTAACACTGACTGTTTATGGAGTGAAACGCATTGTCCCTATCTTAGTAGTGTCCGGCCAGTGTGACATGTTATGAAGAGCAATGATGACTACTGGAAGTTTGTATCTGCGTAACATAGACACTTATTCCTTGACTATGACCATTTCTTGGATGTTATGTAGTGTATCATCAGATGGAGGGGCAGCGAGGTTCCGTACAAGGTTTGAACAGTAATGCTGCCTTGTGCTGTCACACTACTTCCTCAGTGTGAAAATCTAGTGTGGGGCAAGTTGCCCAGCGATGTACCAGTGGCAGGTAGCACTATTATCATGAAGCCTAGTACTTCTAGGTCAAGACCGAGGGACATTCTGATTGGACGGACTATTACACCGATGTGGGGAGACCGGTGGGTGCCGGTGAAGATGGATAATCTTTCATCAAGACCAGTCATTCTAAAGAGGAATTCCAATATTGCCAATGTTTCCTTGTATTGCAGTGAGGACCTTGACATCCAGCAAAGCTCCATACAGGGCTCCCCCAGTTCTGGTAAAATAAATTTCCATGACTTTTCCAAAACTTTTCCAGTACCACAAGAAAAATTTCCAAAACCCACAAGTTTGCTTTGATTTGATTTGATTTGATGATCATGCAGTTTCAGAAAGTAATTGTCCTGCCCCGATCTCAGTTTCGATCAATAAAATTCAAATACGTGCAAAAAAATAAACCATAAAAACTGGAATAACAAGCAAAAAAGCAGCAATCTCAAATACGCGAAATCTGCGCAGAAACGGATGTTTACCAAGGTAGTTAACTATTGACTTCCACTCGTACATTTCTGTTAGCATGTTGCGGAATGAAGCAGGAAAAAAAAATGAACAAGGCTAGTTTCCAAAACTTTTCCATAACTTTTCCTCTCTATCCAAGAATTCAAAAACTTATCCAGGGCCTGGAAAAATTATTTCGAAATTCCAAAACTTTCCCAGGTTTTCCATGACCGCGGGTACCCTGTCCATAAATCCACCAGCGAGTATACCTCTCCTCTTGTCATGGTGTGGAAGAAGGATGGTGGTCTGAAAATTTGTATGGACTTCAGGTGGCTGAATGAGCAGACTCTGAAGGATGTCCACCCACTCATTCACCAGGCAAACTTGCTGCCTTCTTCAGCAATGGACCTCACTTCCAGGTTTTACAACATCCCAATGTGCGAGGAGGATAAAAAGTACACGGCCTTCACAACACCTGTTGGTTTGTACGAGTACAATAGAATACCACAAGGGCTCTGCAACAGTCCAGCATCATTCATGCACATGATGTTGAGTATTTTTGGGGATCTCGACTTTGCCAGTCTGCTTTTCCAGGCTCCAAGCACTGCAGCTAAAGAGGTGCAGGACAATTTTAAACTTGGGATTCAACAACTTCACGCAGTTCAGCAATCGACACCCACCCTCATCTCAGTAGTTTCTTGCAGCTTATCTGAGGTCAAGGCTGCCTTGTTACATCACAGTGATTAGGAGAGTAAAGCAGCGAATAGAGCCATCTGCCTTATCCAACATGTTGAACAGCTCCAATCAGTTGGTCAAGATACCTTGTCTTCACTTACCTTGCAAGAATTGGAGGACCACCAACTCCAGGATTCTCCTATCTACAGTGTTCTGCCATTCATGATTTGCAAAAGACGTCCCTCCAGACGAGAGAGACATAGTATGGATGCAAGATCGCTGGCCATGCAGAAGCACTGGGATAAGCTTAGAGTGAGGGATGAGATTTTGTATAGGGAGACACCCTGTGAGTAAAACCAAAAGGTTTCAGTTGGTTTGCGGAGCAATGCATTGGAAGGAGTTCATGATTTGGCAGGACATCAAGGACAAGTTAGGACTTTCCACTTAGCAAGACAGCAGTTCTTCTGGCTCAATTTGGAAAGGGATGTGAAGGAATATATGTTCGGTGTTGTGAGAGGTGTGTACTTGCTAAGATTCCGGAGCCCACAGCACGAGCCCCTTTAGAGAGTGTAAGGACCTCTGCTCCTATGGAACTTGTCTGCATTGATTTCTGGTCCACTGAAGACAGGAATAAAAGCTCAGTTGATGTGCTTGTGGCAACTGACCACTTCACAAAGATGGCATTTGCCTTTTCGTGTAGGAATCAGACTGCCAAGCAAGTTGCCAGAAAGTTGTGGGACTGTATTTATTGTGTATATGGTTTCCCCCAGTGCATTCATTCAGACCAGAGACCCAGTTTCGAGTGAACTGGTGTCTGAGCTGCTGCAACTGTTTGGCATTTCCAAGTCCCATACCACAGCCTTTGAGAGCCAAACAGGAATGGTCAGAACAGATTCAGACACTGACCTTTGCTTACAATGCCGTGTCCCAAGACTTCCAGTAGACATTCAATTTAAGACTGTCCTGCTTGATCCTGCTGTGGCTGACTTCGGCAGCTACTCTAAGACCCTTATGTCATACCTGACGGAGGCTGCCAGAATCACTCAGCAACACACCGTCAAAGAACAAGAATGTCAGGCTCGTCAGTACAATCAGAAGGTTAAAGGTGTTGCTACAGGTTGGAGATCGGATGTTGCTTGCCAACAAAGGAGAGTGGGGCAAGAAGAAACTAGCGGACAAGTGGGAACCTGTGGTGTATACGGTTGTTAAGAGAAGCCCCAAAACTCATATGTACAATATCAGAGATTCTGTGGGCCAGTGCAAGGTTGTGCACAGAAACCTTTTGCTGGATGTGACTTTTCTTTCTGTCCATGATACACTGCAAATTCAATCAATGGATGACTCATTTAATGCCGATGATCTCAGTGTTTGTGGAGAACTAGATGAGCTTAGCAGCTTGGATAAAGAGACTTCTCAAGCGTGGACGTCCTTGTGGGTACTTTCTGACAGTGGTCATAGTGTCGACAGAGATTTTGTGGCAGAAGAGCTTGTTTCACAAGATGCAGGATGACAAGATAATATACAAGTTGCTGGCTCACCCAACAAACAGTCTGACATGATTCCTACTTCAGTCAGTTCTTTGGTTGACCATGAAGAAAGCAAGTCTGACACAGTTCCCACTTAAGTCACTTGTCCCATTAACTCCAGTGAAACAGGTTGACAGAGTTCTTGTTCGCGATGGTGACTTTACAGAAACTAAGGTTGTTCCTGTCTCTGACCTTGACAAGTTTCACACCTTGGCTCAGCACCACAATGAACCCCCTTCCGATTTACACAGGCAAGACACTGATCATGTTACAGTGCGAAATACAGTAGTAGTCACAAGAGTCACTAGGCTTATAGAAAATATGGTCCAAAAACCCATTGTATCGGGTCTGTTACCACTACAGAAAGCTCAGTCTATAGCATAAGGGGTTTTCCTGTCACTTTATGTATGCTGAAAGCATAATTGGTTAAGACTCTATCAGCTTGAATTTCAGGAGACCAAGTATAATGGGGTGTAGACTGCACCTTAGTGTTCTTCCCTACTGCTTTAAATCTATTTGACAGATTTAAACTGTTTTAACTGAACCATAAAATCTTTTGTGTGAATTGGTCCAGAGAGTGAAGAGTGTTTGATGGCATCAACTCTTCTGGGTGTTGCAGAGTCTCAGGGATGGAATGATTTTGGTGAAATTCAAGGAGGGGTGATTGTAGCAGTTGTTAAAATGTGATTTATAATTTCACCACAACATTCACATTTATTACTTCATATAGGTATTTTATTGTTTATTTTATTATCTTTTTAATCTCTTGCCTGTATCTAGTTTTGCATGAATTTTTTGGCAATTTGATTATGATCATTTAAGTTTTCATGAAATTGTGTCTCGATGGTAGCATATTAGCGGAGTAGCTTACTAGCATGCTAAGGAGATAGTGCCGTTCCACATTCATGACGTGCATTTTGCACTTTCATCAGGGGAGCCAGGTGTACGAGACACTCTGCTCATGCAGCTCATGTTTTGTTTTATTATTTCAGGTATTATTTTGTTTCAATAACGTAAATTTGTTGGAAGTGTATTTGCTGTATTAGAATGTAACTGTAGGGTTGTCTGTTTTGTCTAGCAAAAGAAGTGAGGTATTGATTAATATGTATCTATTAAATATGTGTTAGATATGTATTAATTATAACCGGCTATGGATAATTATATGTTTTTCATGTATGTGTAGATAAATATGTATATTAATGTTTGCATTTGTTATATAAGAATTTCAAGTTATTTATTCACCTGAACGATTCATTATTTTTTTTTTATTTGTACCTGAAATTATTTTTAAATTTTTTTTTTGTATTGTTATGTTAAAAGTGCAAAAAGGAAAAAGCTTCCCTAACATGGCCGGATGGGGAGTCCGGTATATGAGACTCTGCTCACGCGGCTCATGTTTTGTTTTATTATTTCAGCGTTTGAGCATTAAAACATCTGAGATTCAGTCCCGTGTCCAGTCCCTTATGTACACCAGAATACAACGCAGAGGGGGTGAGTGGCACAGCACGTGGGCTTGGGTTACATGAGCATTCATTGGAAGCTCAGCCTAGCTGCAGTTAGGCCTTGTTGACCCTATAGCAGTTCATGTTTGTGATGTGCTATTTGCCTCACATGTATGTTAATATAGTCTCAGTAACAAAATTACATAATGCCCCTCAACCAGTCTGAGTAATTTTCGACAATTAACATGAAGCTAACCAGTACCTTTATAGCTCTTTTGTCGAGGTCTGTATGTCCGATCGGGGCTGTCCCTCTTGAAGGAGTGCTCATCCAGCCACAACCCATTGACACGTTGGTCCGTGATCGTGGAAAAGGATCTCTTCATCGAGCTGCGATCCATCACACCCTGTTGCACACACACAAAACATACTCCACAATGAATCATGCTTTTCTGTCCTGTTTTGAGTATGCTAAGCAGGGGCAGATCTAAGGGGTTGTCATGGCCACCCCTGCAGTCAGCCCACATACAAATAAAAAAAACAAATACCAGTAAAAACCAGTAACTATGGTGGTGAGGCAGGGAACAACCCAGGATCAGGTGCCAACCCATCACAGTAGTCTAGGACAAAACAAAAAATGTATTTCTATCTCTGCCAGCAGAAATTTAATTCTTTGGTTAATGTTTGAGCGATTTCTTTCTACAAACTCATGCACTGAAATACATCTTTGTGCTCCTTCAATGATGAATTTTATATATGTATGTACTTGCACGCCTCCTTACACAGCGGCTTATGGAAATTACACTAATGTGACGAAATGAACAGTAAGAAATACTGCGCCACATTACAAACATTGTCCTCCTTGGTACCTTGTGTGGGTAAGTGGTGTACTCTATCTACCAGAGAAATGACCCACATGAAAATGACTACTTTCCAAAAAAAACTAGGCTCAGATGAAACTACTGAATTACTAAGAGCAACACACACCCACACACACAAATTACTGAGCTGGTGCTGGGTTGAAGCTTCAGAATGACTGAACCTGAAGGTCACGTGACTTTGGACAGAGACAGATGCACTAATAGAGCTTATATCATTTTTATTGCAACATGACTCCAAACAATAAGATAATGATGAGGAGAAGACACAGTCACACAGAGAGGAATCACCAGGCACTGTGCTCTCTCAATGAGCCACAAGCTCATCCTCTCCCTCCACTCAACCATGTGTCCATCCATCTTCCCACTGGGTATACTGAGCAGGGCACAACTACACCACAACCACAACCAGTCCTTCAAAAAACACTGCACAAAAAATGCTTTAATAAGACACATCCATCCTTCTATTTTTCATACAACTGGAAAGAAAAAACATATTTTAAAACATTCTTTGTGTTCCCTTGCTGAAAATGTATTTTTTGCAACACACCGCCATTTTCTCATACACTCCTGGACATCCAACATTACTCAGTATCTGTGTGAAGTGCTGTCTGTTAGATTATAAGTGAAGTGTTTCCCGATAATATTATGTTATAATATTAGAGTATGATTTAACAACACAGACATGTCACGTGGTATGTCGACCTGCAAAGCACTCTCCTCACCAGAGAGTGGTACCCATGGAAGCCTTCGTTATCCTCGACGTCAGATGACACGGGCTGCATGAAGAGCTCCTGGGAGATGGGACTGAGAGCTACAAAGCCCCCCCTTGTACTGACAGGGAACAAAAAGACAGGCAGTCAGGAATACTTATACACCACCTTTCGAAATGCTACACCATACACATACTACACAAGAGCCTGCCATTACACACAGGGCAGATCCTGCACTATGGGACAGGAATGGGCCAGACAGAATGTCCTGGGGAAGAGTGGATGCATCCATTTGCTGGAACATTGGAGCAGGTTTCTGCAAGTAACAAAAGAACGCAATAAATATAGTGCACAGAAGTCTTTATTCATTCATTTACAAAAAGTATATATCACATCAGAAATAATCAGTAGTTTTAAATAAAACATTAATTTCAAGCAGCAATAGATTGAAACCTAAATTATACTTCTGAAAGAGCAGTTTTGAGTTAAAAAGTTCATTGACAAGCAATCACATTGGGTGCTTTTTAATAAGTAACACCTTTCCAATAACATAAAACACAAAGTATCCTTTTGGGAGCCAATGACTACAATTGCAATTAATAGCAAAATGGCAAGAACAAAAACCAGAACAAGTCAGTCAAAAAGAGTAGGACATTTAATAAAGAAAATGTCTAAATATGTTAAACATTGCTCGTCAATTGGCTTTTGTTATGAAACCAATAAATTTGCAACCCTTTTACAGAATTAAGCAAGACTTTCTATGAGCACTGTAAATACAGCTCCACTGCATATATACACACATCTAAAATTTTCACACTAAACTTAGCTTAAGAAAGCTTTAAATGACCATACTCAGCTTTATAAAGTTTGAAAAAACATATAAATACTTTAAATATAAATGCATCTCCAAAGAAAACTGCTTCCAGAAACTGAACACATGTAGAAACTAATACAAGGCAAAAGAGCAGTGATCATGTACCTGCTCCTCTAGTTTTTGCCTCAGCTTCTTTGCTTTGCTTTGCTTGTAATAATCCATGATCATCATCGATGCATAGATCTTCCCAATGGTCATGTCGTCAGCTGGAAGGCCATTCATCATTCAGTCACAAAACTCAACTCCTAATGTTAGTGATGTCAGCCATTTCTACCAACCAGAGACAGCTAACATAAAAATGCATGACTTCTTAAAGTAACCCAAAACACCATCTGGATCTTTATCTGCCCGCCCCCTGCTCCCCGACTTGCTGGCTCACGTTTGCTCACTGGCACCAGTGTGTCCAGGGTCTTCTGAGAAAGGTGAGGCCAGATGACACTGATCTCCTTCTGCAGTTCTGTGTCAAGCTGCCCGCGATCTTCCCCTCCTGCACAAAGGACACAAAGACACATACAAAAATTGCTGGTTTCCAAACAGTTTCACATTTTTGATCTTGGTTTAGTATTTTTTGCAAGTAATTGCAGATAATCTAGAGAATTTCAAATTAAATACCATAGTATTTTGTAAAAAGAAGACTATATCATAAAAAGCTACAGGCTAATAAGCAGCTATGCATCAAGAATGATGTTGTAGTGCATCACAACACACCCAGGTAAAGCACCTTGGGGTGACTCTGTTGTGCAAGGTGCAATATAAAAAAAATAGCATTGAATGAAATGCAAAAAATACAGTAAAGAAATTTCGGTGGAGCAGTGGAGTAAAGTATTGCCTCGAATATTGGATAGCTCACTTTGAATGTCATTCTAAATATTTTCATGCCAATTTTCATTAAAAATATACAAGCCACTTGGTGAATGAATGAATTACATTGAAAGTTAAGATTATACTGGATAAACACATGCCATTTCAAAAATCCTTGAATAGCTAAAGATAATGAGTGTGAATAGATGATTCTTGTCTAGTTTTGTGCAAATTGGAGAAATGGTCACCAAACCAAAAGTACAGGAACCGGATTCCTGGTGCCAAGTTCCTGGGCAGTCTGACTGGGAAATTTTGTATTTCCTGGCCATTTTCCTACTGCATAACAGGAACTGTATCCTTTAAGCTAAATAATCATGGGAGACACAAAAAACTCATAGGTTAAACTTCACATGTAATTTTATACAAAACTATACTGCAACCCCAAAGGAATAGAGGATGAACAAGTCATTTTCTTAGTCATTTGTTACTTTTTTGGAGGGAGTGATCATGATACGATAAAAATTGGCACTGTTGCCTTACAACTCTGGGAGTATGGTTCTTGCCATGGCTGCATGTGTCTGGAGATTGCATGTTCTCCCCATGTCATCATATGGTTTCCTCCTGATACTCTAGTACCCCCCTCCCACAGTCCAGAAACATGCTAAGGCTAGTTGACGTTACCAAACTGCCCATAGCTGTGAGTGAATGATGTGTGAGTGTGCCCTGCAATGGGTTGGTGCCCCATTCAGGGTTGTTCCCTGCTGTGTACCCATAGCCTCCAGGATAGGCTCCGGACTCCCCCTGGGCCCCGAATAGGACAAATGGTTACCAAAGGTAACTGAGATACAAAAATAATTCCATCTGCTCAACTTCTGCTCCACTACTCATATCATTTTTTTCCTCACACTTTTCCTGTTGCCTAATGTTGTGTTGATTATGTCTGTGAAGTTTCAAAGATACAGGGCATTAACTGACATAATTTTATCAAAATTGTGGAATGCTCTTGATAGTTGACATCAAATGCTGTTCATCAGTCAATTAAGCATTACTCACGGTCAGAGGACAAAAACCCTAACAATTCTCTAGATACAGATATTACACAATTTTAGTGCCCCATAGAAAAATTTGGCATTGTTCACAGCATGTTGTACTGATCATGATTCTCAAGATTCATGAGAATCAGATCCTGTTTACAGAATACAGATTGTGATTAGGTAGGTTAATGAATATTTTAATAAATTCACAGATGACTATAGGAAAAACATTAAAAATACTTAAATTTCTTGAACAACTTTTATCTGAAAAATCAGTAGATGATCCTTCTCAAGATTTGTGTAATCTGGGCTAAGCTTTTCGGATGAGTTTGTTTTAGAATTTTATTATATTATTCAAAATGCCAGGCAATCAAAGATGGCCTGGATGGATTTAATGTCATTTGATTGGGCTTAATGACATGAGAAATTGATACTTTCTTGAATGGTTGTCAAGAAACAGGGCAAAATGTAAAATGGTTTATTATAGTGCCACCTTTAGGTTTCTTTGTGTCATCTTGGATGTCTGATTAGTAGAGAAGATTTGGGACCTATGTGCCAAGTTTGGATTTTCTAGGATTTATGTTTTTTGCTGTCCAGACACTTTTAGCAAGGAAGAAGAATCTGAATGAAATCAATAGAGTTCCCGGAGATATGCTGTTTGGTTTGCGAACAAGAAGACAATTAGACAGTGTTGGCATGACAACAATATATTCCCCTGATGTTTTTGCTAACTGCCCC